TAGGTGGAGCTAGCTATTTTAGAAAACCACTACTGTGGTTTTTCTTGAGCCAGGAAGGCTGATCCCTTGGGAAATGTTTTCACACCTGTGGAAATGAGGCCTTCTTAGCTATTTACTGCCGGACAATTTGGCTTTGAAGTTTGTAAATTTGCATACAGTTGAATGTAGAACAATTGAGCCTAGTCAGGGATTCATCTTCTAATAATGCCTTCACCTCTGCTCCTTGCCCTTAGATCTCTTACCTCCCTGATGGAAAGAAATGGCTATCTCAAGGTTTCCTTAAGCTGTTCACTTGTGTTCTATTTTTGTGGCTCCTGAGTAGGGGGAAACATTTCTTTATAAAGGCCAGATCTAGTTACAGTAAAATACCTCTGGTGAAAATCACTAATGAGACTTTAAGTCTCTCTGGATAGCTTTAAGTCAAGTCATGTTCCAGAGAACCTAACTGGTCCCTGTGGACAGTATCTTCTAGTGCCACAGCAATTGATTATAGCCCTGTTTGGGGAAGTTGAATTATAGAGCAAATAGTGAAAATGCCAAGTTGAGTAAGGTGCCTAACCTGTATGTAGCAAGGCAGGCAGCACAGCTGCTGCTAAGAGGAGAGAAAAAAGGAGGTTCTGTAGCTTCCTGGCAGTTGATGTATATTAGGCTCTTTCAAGGACTAGACTATGAGCAGTCTGCTTATTGGTGGAGAGAATCCCGTTGGAATAAATGACCAGTTTCAGAATTAGAACCTAATATGGAAAAGCTGCCAGTTCTGGTGGCACTTGAAGTTCACTTTGATGAGTAAAAGTAAAAATGAGATTGAGGGGAACCAATATTAATGGATTTAGCCTTCCAAATTTTTTGGCCTAGACTTCCTGCAGAGCTCTTTGCTTTTGATATTAATGTAGACGCAATCTTGATGATGATGTGCTGAGTTTTTGTGTTAGTAATAATGTGAGGTGGGCAGTAAGATTGGTATATTACCCACCGGGGCCATTGTTACTCGGTTGGTGACAATAATGAAGATGGGGCCTTTTGGTTCGTGGTAGATATAGTTGCTTTCTTTAGGTTGTTTTTGTTGTTTTGTTTGTTGAGACAGGATCTAGCTATAAAGTTCAGGCTGACCTTGAATTCACTTTGTAGCCCCCCCCACCCCTGGCCTCAAACTCGCAGCAATCCTTCTGCCTTAGCCTCCTTAGAGCTGGGATTACAACAGGTGTGGGCCACCACGCCCACCTCTTTAGTTGCTTTCTGTTATGGATATTTATTTTATAGCAGAACGGTGGATGTTTGCTGGAAGCATAGTTTATTTTTACTTTTCCTGGTCAAATTGCATTGGGTAAAGGATCTTTCTAGTTTTTAAATATTTTTGCCATGTTGCATATGAGTGGATTAGTGACTTAGCTCCTTGTTTGTCAGGCAAATGGTGACATCCTTTTGAAAACTTGGAGGTGGCAACAGGATGTGGAGGAAGACTGTGGGTTTTGGAGCCAGATAAGAGTGCCCAGGCCTGGCTGCTCCCTGGCAGTGTGCAGTGGGCCTTGAGCATGGTGCCTACTTCTTAGAGTCACTGTGGCCAAATGGATACAAGGGTAACACTCCCACAATGCTCAGCATTCAGTGAGTCTTTCCCAACTATGTAAAGGTTCTAAATGGAACATTTACAGTCTCCTGGGTAAACTGAAGTAAGGCTGATGTCTGCATTTTTGAAGGCAGTTGATCTATCTTTCACCTTTCAGGGTTCTGGTCAGTTTATTTAATTGCAAAGAGCTGCTGATTGGGCTTGAAAGTAAGTAGAAGCCATTTTACAGCATTTCCTGCTTGCCCAATGTCCTTACTCTGGATGCTAAAAGAGTGCTATTGTCTCGAGCAAATACTATTGTCAATTATCTTGTTTTTTCTGTAGTGGGAGAACTCAGCCCGTGGTGTATGCTAGGCTAGGCAAGTACTCTACTGTCTGTACCCCTTTTATTTTATTTTATTTTTTGTCTTTTTCCTTTTTATCGGTACCAGGGATCGAACTCACGACTGCCTGCTTGCAAGGCAGGTGCTTATGCTGCTGAGCTAAATCCCCAGCCCCACCCCTTTTATTTTTAATTTTGAGACAGGACCTCCCCATGTGGCCCAGGCCATCCTTGAACTTGTGACCCTCCTATCTCGGCCTCATACCTGGCTGTCACGAATCTTTTGCACTTGGAATCTCAGTCAGTGCTACAGCCATGGTAGGGCTCCTGAGAACTGGAAAACCAGGGAACTAGAGCTTGAACCCACCAGCAGCTAGTGAGTGCTACCACCTTACTCAGTCTGTTGCCCTTTCCAGAGTCTCTGAGGGGACGGTCTGTCAGGATCCCACACGCCCGAGTATTTTGGCTGAGTCAGTTAAGGTTTTTATTCATTGAGCAGCCAGGCTTCCCCCACACTTTTTCTCAGCACAGAAACGTTTTTGTTTGAGTGTATAATGTACGAAGATTCTGTCTGGGCTGAGGACTTTGGTTATAGAGTTGGGCCAAGGTCACCTTTACCACCTTAATATTCTCTGGTCTGACCTATCTTTTGCAGTTTCTGGGCTCCATAAAGACTTGCTGGTGCTGCACTTTACTGATCCACAGGTGCAAAGTCCATGCCTTAAAAGCTGTAGGGCTAGGAGCTGGGCGTGGTGGCACTTACCTGTTATCCCAGCACTCGGAAGGCTAAGACCAGGAGGAGTTTGAGACCTGCCTGGGCAATATAGTAAGATACTTTCTCAGAAAGCAAAAACAAGTTGTAAGGTTAGCATAGATGGCCTGATGGCAGGCAGAGTCATTAAGAGACGTGGCCGGCCCAGAAGCTGGCTGAGACCAGTTTCCTTGTCCTAGTTAGGGCTCAGGTGGTCACCCAGAGTGTACTTCACAGCGCTAAGGCTGAGTATCCTGCGGGCTGCTCTGCTCCTTCCATGCAGTGCCCTCTGTTGGTAGAGAGATGAGAGTAGTGGGCGGCTGGCACCCCGGATGTGACTTCTGTGTTAACCACTTCTAAGCCAGTCCCCTTCGTCTCCCCAAGAGGTGACAATGTCTCTTCTACTTGTGCACTGTGGATTTTGTGCTGAGGGCTTCTCACATTAGCTCGTTTGGTGCAGTGGCGTTTGGTGCTGTGGCGATGCAACAGAAAGGGGAAGTCGTTTATCCCAGGTCACAGAACTGGTGTGCTGGAGGCACATTTCTTTCCCCATTGTGCTGTCCCAGATCTGGTGCATTTTTCTAACTGCAGGTTATACTCATTAGGAGGATATGAAGTCCATTTATTGATTTGTCTTCTTGATCGTAAAACAGTGACAAAAGAGGTTCAAGTTAGATGTGGCTTTGTGAAACTTTGGTTTGAGAGGAATATAGAAGAAGTGGTATGGGTCAAGTTAAAAGGTTGAAAGCCACTGCAACCAGGATAGGAGTGGCTTTGAGCTGCCACTGCTGACCTGTTTTTTTGTAGTGAAGGTGTATTATTGGCAGACAGCCACACCCATTTGTTATATTGGCAGTGTCACTTGGCAGCAGGGAGTCCTTGGGACCTAGACCTTGGCCCATAAAGCTGACAGTGTTACTCTTTAGCCCTTGCTGGCCTCCTTTCAGTGGTGGTCCGCCCACACATACCCCACCCCCATCCCCACTGCTATTGTGGTGGGAGGGAGTAAAGGGTACAGGAGATCTGTTGCAAGTGCGCTTGAGAGACATGAGTGTCGTGGGAGTGCCTCACTCCCTGTCCTCAGTCTGCAGCAGCTCTTACATTTCTATATTCTGCTTTTTCCAGGGAATGAAAAGGCTCAAGCCTGGGCTTTTGGGGGAGTGGGTGACGTAGGATTGAATTTGCAACCTTGTGCTTGCGAGGCAGGTACTTACACCACTGAGTTAACCCCCGCCCCAAGCCTGGGGTTTTGAATATCTAAATGGAAGGGATTTTCATTCATTAGGACTAGAAACTGGACACCAGTTGAAGCCTAGGTGTGGAAGTGGATCACAGCTAACCCATCCTGCTATGGCCCAGCCCAAGGATTTGGGTCTTGACACTAGTGTCACTTGTCAAATGACCATTGCAGCTGGCTTGGATTATTGCCCTTCTCATTTTCCTAACAGACAACATGGTTTAGATTTCCTTGGGATTCTAGGTTGGCCCTGCCACTGCCCAGGGCACCAGAGCAGTCAAGTAACCAAATCAGATGCAGGACATTGCAGGCCACTTCCCTGGGAGGCCTTGTTCACCTGTCTATCTCTTCACTTAGCCTGGCTGTTTCTAGCCAATCAGGAAGCCCTTGATAAGACTCAAAAAATGAGTTTATGACAAGATAGTCCTTCAGGGACCTCATCAGAGCTTGAAATGCTTTGCATTGCTGAGTGGGGTTCTTAGGAAATTATCTAAGAGGTTTGGGTAGCTGACACAGACACTCCATTCTTCTGCAGTGTGTCCTGAGCACCCTCCCAGAATGGGTCTGACCTTGTGCTGGGTTTTATAAACTTAGGGTGACTGTGAGCTTCTTTGTTTTCCTGTATGGTGTCCACAGGCGGCTGGAAATTAACATTGTTGTTTTTCAGATAATTGCAACTATAAGAAGAGATTATGTTGTTGGTCAGAAATTTCAAATTTAGGGGCCAGGTCTCTTGTTAGGAAAATAGTAGTACTTTGCCTTGATCCAAAATATGTTGAATGGAACCAAATTGATTCTCCTAAAAAATTATAAACAAGATGTCTTTTATTCATAGTTAAATAACACTTTCCTCCTGGGAGTAGTAGATATCTGGCTGCCTTGGGTGAGATCCAGCACCTCTGCAGCTTTCAGCCTGTTGGCATGAGAAGGTGGTTAGAAAACTTAATTCCTGAGAAGCAAATTCCAGAGGTTGATCTGCCAGGAGAAACTTGGATCTGAGATCTGTGTTTGCTGATTGAGCAAGGCTCTATTCAAAGTAATAGGAGTGGAAGAAGAGGTGGTGAGGCAAAGGAAATGGCAGGTTTGTCTCCGTGAGGCTCTTTTTGCAGGTTTGGGGTGGGTTTTGTTCTGTTTTGTTTTTTTGAGCGGGTTTCCCTATGTATCCTACACTGGCCTTGATCTTGCAGCAGTCCTCCTGCCTTAGTCTCCAAGTACTGGGATCACAAGTTTGTGTCTGTTTTTTTGTTGTCTGTTCTGTGAGGTTTGTGTGCTTGCAGGAGTTCCAGTTGCGGGTGCTGCGTGCTTGGGGGCAAAGGTGTTCAGTTTCCTGTTAGTGGCCTTTGCAGTTAACCTCCCACAAGTGTGCGCTTTGCTTTCTGCCTTGGAATCAGTCCTATTTATTTCTTACTGGGATTGCTTGGATCTTTCAGTGTACTTCTTGTTTCCTAAACCATCCAAACATCTTTGGTCACATTTTTAAATGCCATTGTTAGAAGGACTGTACCAATCTTACTTTTTTTTTTGTCTTTTTCCTTTTTATCGGTCCTGGGGATTGAACTCATGACTGCCTGCTTCCAAGGCAGGCGCTTATGCCGCTGAGCTAAACCTCCAGCCCCGATTGTACCAATCTTGTATCTGTGCATTTCAGTAGTTTTTACTCCTAAACATTTGGTGAGCTGGGTTTGTGCTCACTGCTCCTGGAATTCACCCCATGACCTCATCCTGGAGGTTCCCTCCTTGCTTTCTCCTGAAGAAACTGGGGATGTGAGATGTTTAAGAAACTTGTACAGTGTCTTGGTGCTCATTTTGCCAGCTGTTGGAATGCAGTCATACCTAGGAACCTGGCTGCTGTGAAACTCTTTGCATTTGGTGCTCTGCACAGCTTAAGGTGTTTTTCTGGCGATGAGCATTTCTTTGACATGCACAACAGCCAGAACTTAACAGTGTGGATTGCCTCATGACTGCCTACCTTTTCCTGCCAAAACTGTTTGGCCCTTGTCACCTTTTGGAGTCAATTAACAATGAGTACCAAGAAATCACTCTACTGTTTCACATATTCTGTTTTATATATATATGTCTTTGTTTTTTGCACTCAAGTTATAAATTTCAAGGTGAGGATTGTTTGTCAGTTGGCCTGTTTAGTACATTATTCTTTTTCACATAGTTTCTATTGTTAAGAGCTGGGGAAAAAAACAAACCTGGAGCTTGGAGTCAGAAAGTCTTGGTAGTGGCACCCCATTAATTCCAGGAACTTCGGAGGCTGAAGCAGCAGGATCACAAATTTAAGATCAGCTTGGGCAATTAAATTTAGTAAGATCTTTAAAATAAGAAAGGCTTAGGGATATATAATTCAGTGGTAGAACTCTTGCCTGGCTTAAGTGAGGCTCTAAGTTCAATTTTCATAGTATTAAAAGAAAAAAGAAAAAATTAAGTCCCAAACTCTGGTTCTTCCTGCTATCATCCTACGGGCAAATTAATTTTGCCCCATCTGAGAACTTCACATATGCTAAGCAAGTGCTGTGTCCCTGAGTTATATCCTTGGTCCTTTATTTGAAAACATGTCTCACTGAATTACCCAGGCTGGGCTCCTCAACTTTCTTCCTTCTTCAGTTTCCCTATACCTGGGATTATAGGTATGGTATGTGTTTCCATTCCATACCATACTGAACTGCATCCCCAGTGGCCTCCCATCCCCTCCCCCCTTTTTTTTTAATTTGAGAAAGGGTCTAAGTTACCCAGGCTGGACTCAAACTTGGGATCCTGTGCCTCAACTTCCCAGAGTGCTGGAATTACAGGTGAGTGTCACCATGCCTGGCAGGATTTATTTTTTATAAGGTAAAAGATACTGCCATCTTTCCTAACAAAATTAACAAGAAGTTAATGTCTCAAATACCCGGTCTAGGTTCCAGTTGCTCTGGTATCCCCTGTCGCAGCTACCAGGAGGTGGTGGCTTGGGTTTGGATGCCTGTATGATATGCCATCTTGCTTGTGCAGAAATGAAATTCCCTGGTTGGCCTCTGCTTGGTGCTCAGCTGGTTGCTGTGATGATGGCATGTTCCATGGAAAGTTGTGACATCACAGAGTGGGCTGTGACCACATCTGAGAATGCTGAGGTGAAGGGAGACACAGAGCTCTGTTGCCCTCAATTTCTAGTTGATAAACTAGGTAGTAAGGACACGGAAAAACACATCCAGAGCCCAGAGATTTAGTTCAAGGGTTTCCTGGCTCTGAAAGCCCTCAGTGAGATTCCCCTGTGGCTGCTGTATACTTCCTAATTCAAGGGAAGGTTGTGGGGGCCTTTCTTAGGTGTGAAGCCTGATCTGATATTCTACAGGAAAAGGAAAGGCCCTGGGCCTTTGCGCCTGCGTCCGACAGAGATAGGCCTGGATCTCGGATTTCTAAACTTAGGCCATCGGTTAAACATTTGAAGAGGCTGAGCCTCCTTGTAATTTTCGTAATTTTGTCCCTAGTTAATGGGTCATTCAGTGCCTACTCAGGCAATCTGTTGAGAGTCTGGGCAGTTAATGATCATAACCCTGACCTTCATATTAACCTAGCTGCCTCATGAACATCAGGTAATAGCCACTGTTCCCATGAGTTCCTTTTTGTTTTGCCTCTTTTTTCCCTCATAAGTCAGATAGAGCCATAAGCCCCTGGTACCTTTCAGATTTGTCCAACTTTTTATTTTATTTTTTGAGACTGGCTTTATAGTGTAGGCTGCCTTTGAATTCACTACATATCCCAGACTGGCCTCGAACTTATAGCGGTTCCCTTGCCTCAGCCTCCTGAAGTGCTAGGATTTCAGGCGTGTGCTGTTCAAAACTCTTGCCTAGACAGTTGCCATGTTGCAGGCATTGTTCTCCCAGGGGCCTTTTGTCCTTTCTACCTGGGTCTGGCCTCTCTTTGTCTCTCTTCCTGTTGGTCAACCACCTGGTTGTTTTATAGCATAGTGTAGCTGGGAGCTGGGGAAGGGGAGATGCTGGTTTCATCAGTTTTGCCAGCTGGATTGATTGAGAGAGGGTGGCAGCAGTCAGCAGAGCTTGCATTGCCATCAGCATCAGCCAGTCTAGGGATGTTTGGTCAGGTGTGCTCATGCTAGCTGATTCTTCAAATCTGTAGCTCTGTTGCCTCCCAAGTCAGATGCTTCATCCTTATTGTCTGATTTAGACCTATTGCCCCTCAAAATAGGTACTAATGTTACCCACTCCACAGAAGAGATTAACAAGGCTCAGGTTATAGAGCAAGAGCGCTTGCTAGAGAAGAGGCAGAGTTGGTTGAGTTCCTTGTAGGAAGACACACGGTGCCCAAGCCACGAGACCATGTGGCATAGCAAGTTTCTTTTCCAAGTACAGTACTGTTTTTGCTGAGCCTATGGTATGTGATGAACCCCACACACATCTGTGCCTTGGGGAGTTGGCCCAGTAGGTATTACTTAGGCCAGGAGTCCAGATCTGTTTGACCCAAGAGGCGGTCTGCCAGCTCTGAAAATGGAAACTCAGATGCTCAGGAAGCTTTGTCCTAGAGGTTCAGGACAGAGAGCTGCCTCTAGGGAGGCCTTGGCTTCTTCCCAGTTCCTCCTAGGGGCCCTTTCCAGGCATCTCAGTATGGCTGGTCTCCTGTCTCCTGCAGCTCTGGTGGCCGTGTCAGCTACAGCTGTGGTGGGATGTTGCTGGGCTAGGCTCTGGGAACACAGCAGCCTCCTCACAGGCTGCCCTTTCAGGGTTTGCTCCTGCAAGCTGGTCTCAAGAGGATTTGGCAGGTCTAGATTGAAATGATTAGCACAGTGGGGCTTCCCCACTTTTCTTGGGGGATTATGTCATAGTCTGTTAAGCATGCTCCCTCGGTATTTAATCCCACTCTGACATGGATTTTGCTGGCAGCCTGTTAAGTGGCACTGCTTAAACCTGGTTGCCATTTTGTGGAAACTGCCTTCGTGCAGTTGTGTGAATGGCCCTCAGGATTCTACCCGCTCTCCCAGTGGGCTTGATTTCCTTTCTTTCCGCTGAACATAGTCTAAAGGAAGGAATCAGTCCTAATATTGTTGTAGGCCTTTTAGCCTGGCTGGCATGGCCCATGTGACCCTCAGCAGAGTTAGACTGGGCCCTAGCACAAGGAAGACCCACCCATACATCCACCTCAGTGAATGAATCATCGGTGATCTTTGTAAAGTTCCTGCTTTTCAGCTATTCCCTAGGTAGAGAGACTTCCAAGTTTGCACTGCCTGTTGCACAGAAAGTTGTGTAGTTGAACCCTTCTGAGCCCCGATGTGTCTTGGAGTGTTGGTAGACAGTATGGAGAATCCATCTTTGGGATCCAAATGCTGTACTTGCCCACCTTGGTAAAAATGCTTTAGAAAGAAGAGGCTTCTTCCAGAATCATTCTGGATGATGGTTAAGATGCTTGAGTGCCTTGGCTGGTCTTTTGTTGTACTGCTGCGAACATCCCCACATGTTAGGTTAGAGCAGTCGTGTGTTTGTCAGGGCCAACTCTGGCAGGGGGACTGTGTGGAGGCCTCAGAGACCCTGGACAAGACAGTCACTTGCTGTGCCAGATGGGGGGCTCCATGGGACTGCTGGCCTGTTCTGGCTTGGTTTTGACTCTGCCCTCTGTGTCATGGAAGCTATCTTGCTAACTAAATTTCTGAAGCATATCAGTTTTCTATTAGGAAAATGAAAAGGCAGGTAGCTTAGTAGCTGGTAGTGTGTAGGAACTCAGAAATGTTTGTGACCTGAATGGTGTCCTACCTCCTCAGCGTTTCCCATTCCAGAATACACTGTGGAAGACAGTGCTGTGGTCAGCATTTCCTTATAGATTCCAACCAGTTACCTTTCTAGGCGCTCTCTGCCTTTCTTTGTGTTTGTCCCCTGTGTTTCTCTGGGGTGTGGTCCTCGCCCGCCCACAGTATTCCCATGGGGACAGTCAGTCTGTTCCAGTCACCACCTCCAGTGACTACACAGCAGGAAGTTTGCTGTGTCACTGAGTAACAGCTCCTCCCTGGGGAACAAAGCAGTTTCCCCAGTCAGGTGGTGTGCTCTTAAAGTGGGTGAGGACATCCTGCTGGTTTTGGGGCCCCTGCCTAGCTGCAAGGTGCCTCACTTGTCAGGAATGCCACCCCTCTTGTCCAGAGGTTGCTGGGTGTCTCCCTGAGGAGTCCCAGCCAGCTGGCAGGTCAGGAAGAAACAGCAGTCTCCGCACATTGTTACATCTCCTGTCTTCCTTTGAAATGACAAAAAGAGCTTCCTGTCCTGGCTTCTGTTCTGGAGCTGCCCTTGACCTCTGTCTCTGGAGATCTGGGAGGCAGTACCATTTGGGGTTTAAATCAGATCCTTCCCCTTTGAATCGAGCGTGAGATTGATAGAAAAGCTCCTCTTGAGAGGCTGCTTGGTGTTTGAGGCACAGTCCCTGAGTGGACAAAGGAGTGATGTGAGTGAAAGGGTCATGGAGGGTCCTAAGGAAATGATGGTTTGTTTCTCTTCCACAAAGCCCCTAGACCCTTTTGGGCTCCTGCCTAGCTGTTGCAGTCCCAAGGCCTTTTTCCTTTGACTTGTTTTGTTACTGTTTTGTGGGGAGGTAATGAGGATTGAACCCAGAGCCTCATACATGCTGGGCAGGTGCTCTATGAGTGGGCTAAATCCTCCCTTTTTTGAGACTTTTTTTTTTACTAAATTGCCCAGGCTGGCTTTAGATTTTGATCCTCCTACCTTGGCTGTCTTTGTAGCTGGGATTACAGGCATGCACCCCCGTGCCTACCTTTATGACTTTTGACATTATCTTTATCTCTTTGTGTCCTAGTTAACTGAGATGGATGGAATTTTTATGCTCACACACAAAACTTGCTGTAGTCATTCATAAGGAACTTTTTTTTTTTTTAAATCGGTACCGGGGATCGAACTCATGACTGCCTGTTGCAAAGCAGGCGCTTATGCCGCTGAGCTAAATCCCCAGCCCATCATAAGAAACTTTTAAGAGCTTTTTTTTATGCCACTGAGCCACAAGCCTGGTCCTCTTTTGGAGCTTTTGAAGTTAATTTTTGTTTTGTTTTTCTTTCCTCTGCTGCCTTTTATACTTGTAAAAACTGTGTCTGTGGGTTTGGCTTGAAATCTGGATTCCTTTTCTATCTGTCGTCCTCCCTGAACACTCCCTCACCCCCACCCCACCCACAGCGTGCTGCTGGCAGTGTCTGTTATATTTGGAGAACACTTTCTAAAGTATTGGGCATTGGGGTGACATGGGAGTCACAAGGCGGAGAAGGAGGTGAAGCAAGTTACAGGAGGGAAGGGGAAAACAGCCTCGGCCTAGGAGAGTTCCCCTTGCTCTAGTTGCTCAGCATCCCTGTCTGTCTGTCTGTGTCCCCATCCCCTGCTCAGCGATGGGACTGACAGTAAATCAGACCAAGAAGCCCAGGGCCCACAATGTCTACACCAGTGGTTGTTAAGGAACCATTGTGGAGTCCTTCAGTATCCCAGGCCCTCTGAGGAGCATGGAGAGCTGCGTGCAGGTCACTCCTGGTGCAGACCCAGGGCTTTCCCACCACTGTCCACCGGCACCATCTCTCCCCTCACTGAGTGTCCCTGGGGACACAGCCTCCAGCAGCCAGGTCACGGTGCTGCAGGAGGGGTGCCAGTCCTGTATCCCTGGGCCAGGCACTTCTGTGGTCAAGGGGGTTTCAGAAATGCTACCCAGTGAGATAGTGGCTGCTGCTGCTGCTGAGGTTCTCCAAGGCCCCTAGTTGCCTCTCCCTTCCTTCCCTCATGTGACCACAGAACCTGCTGCCATCGGCTAACAACGGTGGTCCTGAGGGACATTCAGAGACATCCTAGCTTGGGCTTGGGTTTGTCTACAACCTTTGCTGGTGGTGTCCCTGTCTTTTTTTTATTTTTCATGGTTCCAGGAGTTGTGCTTTCTGCCTTTTGTAACTAGGCAAATGCTGTGTCACTGAGCTAAACTCCAGCCCTAGCCTGCTAGCAGTGGTGCCTTTACATTTCATTGGTTTTTCTACCACCACCCTTCCAGTCAATTACACTCAGGCACAGTGCTTTTGGAGTGAGATGAGGTGGTTTTCACATCCTTCCACGGCCCATCCCGAAGATCACAGCGCTTGCCCCCACTCCTGTGGGTTCCCCAACCCTGAGCCCTTGAGTTTTGCTGTTGACAGCCCCCACTTCATGTTGACTTTGGGGTTGCTTTTAGGGAAGATGGTGAGTTGGAAGAAGGTGAACTGGAAGATGATGGGGCAGAGGAGACCCAGGACACCCCAGGAGGGCAAGAGAGAAGTCGGAAAGAAAAGGGGGAGAAACACCATAGCGACTCAGATGAGGAGAAATCTCACAGGAGGCTGAAGCGGAAACGGAAGAAAGAACGGGAGAAGGAGAAGAGGAGGTCAAAGAAGAGGAGGAAATCCAAGCACAAAGTAGGTCCAGGAAGGTTGGCGTTGCTGCACTGCTGGCACAGGACCTGTCCTGTCCGCCCAGAGGGTACTCTTCTTGGTGTCTGTCTTAATGAGCTGGCAGCTTGTGCTCCACTGCCACTGAGTGCCCCCAGGTGAGGCGATTCAGGTGGAACATGGTGCGCTTGGGGCACAGGCTAGTATTGCTTGTCCGGGGCTGTGTGCAGGACGGCCACCTGCAGCAGTCACTAACTCACCTCTCCTGTCACTGCAGCGCCATGCTTCTTCCAGTGATGACTTCTCAGACTTCTCAGATGAGTCAGATTTCAGCCCGAATGAGAAGGGGCACCGCAAGTACCGGGAGTATAGCCCCCCATACGTGCCGGTGAGTAACTGCTTGGCACCCTGGCGGCCAGGGAGTCGGGACCAGGAGTACTCCAGGACCCATGTTCATGGAGTTCTTTCCCCATTTGGGCTTTCTCTCATGAACTCCGTGTGGACTTTAACCCTATGATATTAGGTGTTATTTTTGTCCCTGTTTTACAGGTGAGGAAACTAGGAGTTAGAAAATTTCAGTGGTCGGGGCTGGGGATTTAGCTCAGCGGCATAAGCGCCTGCTTTGTAAGCAGGTAGTAGTGAGTTCGATCCCCGGTACCGATAAAAAAAAAAAAAGAAAATTTCAGTGGGGTCACCAGCTCTAAAGTAGAGGAGATAGGATTTAAACCTGGTGACAGATCTCTGTAAGGCTTGCTCTTGAGCCTTTTCTGAGCTGTGTCTACTCCAAAGCCTTGGCAGGACTCAATATGTCTCACTGGCCCAGGTGACAGCTGAATACTTTCTGCTGTCCATAGGTGACTTGTGGCAAGAGAAGGAAATGGTCAGGGGTATAAATTATCTTAAAAGGTTTGTTTGTTTGTTAAAGCTTTTATAGTGAGAGGTCAAATACTGCATTACATCTTTGAATTGAAGAATATAAATTTGTTCAGCACATTATTTGTTCAGTTTGCGTATATTTTTCCCCCCAGAAAAATCCAGCTTAAATGTAGATATTTTAAAATTAATGGACTTTGCTAGGCATGGTGTCACATGCATGTAATTCCAGCTCTTAGGAGCTGAAGCAGGAGGATTACTGCAGTTTAAGGCCAGGATGGGCTACATAGTAAGTTCAATGCCAGCCTGAAATAACGTGGTGAGACTCTGTCTCAAAAAAAAAAAAAAAAAAAAAAAAAGAAAGAAAGAAAGAAAGAAAAGGAAAGGAAAGAAAAAAAAAAAAGAAACTGGACAAATAGTACAGTTCCCTTATCCCTCACATGAGGCAGTCCCCCTTATCCTTGACACCTGCACTAGTGTGATACATGGTTATACTGCGAATTGCGTGCTGATCCATTAGTGTTCACTGATGTCCTTCACTTAGGTTACAGCTCTGGGTTTGGTTGCAGCATCACACAGTAATTTCACTGCTTGTGCTCTTCCCGTTCATCTTTGGCTTTTTCCCCACCCCAACTCCCAATCTTTAGTCTCCGCACTTTTGGCTGTTCTGAAATGCCTGTCTTGGTTGGAACCATACATTTCACAGTATTTTGGAACTGACTTCTTTCTCCTTGCAATATTCTTTCATTTATTTATTTATTTGTTTGTTTATTTATTTATTTATTTTGAGATGGGGATCACACTGTGGTGCCTAAACTGGCTTTGAACCCCTAGCCTCAAATGATTTTCCTGCCTCAGGCTCCCCAATAGCTGGAACTGCAAGCATATATCATGGCACCCTGTCTCAGCAACATGCTCTTAGGGTTTCTCCATTTTCCTTTTCCTTTTTTTTTTTTTTTTTGCCATGGTGCTGGGGAATCTAACCCAGGGCCTTGTGTATGCGAGGCAAGCACTGTTTTCATTGTTCTGTAGCTCTTTTCTTTGCCTTGCTGTCTGAACACATAATTAACCTGTCCATTCCCTTTGTGTATGCATGTGTGTGTGTGGCTAAGGATCAAACCTGGGTGCTCACACCTGCTCAGCAAGTGCTGCGCAGCTGAGCCATATCCCCAGACCTGTGTGTTTTCTCATTAAAGAACATCCCATTCTTTCTATGTATATGTGTTTTCCTCTTTTCCGGCACCACTTGGCATAAGCACACCTTTAGAAAGCATCTCCTGAAACTGCTCTTTAGTGTGGTTGGCAGGCAGGACAGTAATTGAACTCCAAGGCTTTAGAGTGCTTTCAGAGCATGGGCTTCCTGCTGATGGACCCCTCCCAAATGTGGTTGCCCTGGCATCCCCGGCAATGCCTCTTCTCTCGCCCTTGGTTTACTAGGGGTCACAGGGCCTGGGTTTCTGCTTGCTTTGAATGGCTGCCCTTTCCTAAGAGCCGACACATTGTCCAGCCCTTCAGGGGAAAGCCAGGCCCCAGAGTCGTCTGGGGCAGCTTGTGGGCACCTAGGAGGTTGGTGGCCCCCAGTCACAAGGCCAACTGATGTCTCATCCCTCTCCCCGGGACTTACAGTCCCACCAGCAGTACCCCCCATCACATACCTCATCCCTTCCCAAGAAGTCCTACTCCAAGATGGACAGCAAGGGCTACAGCATGTACGAAGACTATGAGAATGAGCAGTATGGAGAATATGAGGGGGACGAGGAAGAAGACATGGGCAAGGATGACTACGATGACTTCACCAAAGAGCTGAACCAGTATCGCCGCTCCAAGGAGGGCAGCAGCCGAGGCCGAGGTGAGCCAGCCAAGCAGTGTCTCCTCTAGGGCTGAGGCCAAGCAGACTGCAGTGCCTGACCCTCCAGAGGCTCACCTCTGGGAGGAGACACAGGTGGTCATTTAGGAAGGGGGGAGGTGTAAAGGGCTTTGGTGAGCTCCCCCGTGGTGTGGTGTGGTGGTGTCAGGAAGATCATTCCTGGCCAGACTGAGCTCAGGATAGTGCCAGGCTGGTAGAAGGCAGGGAAAAGGCCAGGCTGCCTGAAGTACAATTTTTTATTTATTATTTTTTTGTCTTTTGAGACAGGATCTTGCTGTGCAGTTCAGGCTGGCCTTGAGCTCACTTTGTAGCTTAAGCTGGTCTTGAACTCGCAATGATCCTCCTGCCTCAGCCTTCTCAGTGCTAGGATTACAGGCGTGAGCCACCACACCCGGCTGAAGTGCAATTTTTAAAGTTCATTTCAGGAGAACTGTGGGGAGAGAGGAGAGGGACAGCTTCTTTCTCATCTGGGCCAGTCTATCAGATGCTCACTGCCTTCCTTATCCCTGGTTCTCATCACCTGACCAGGTGTGGTTGCAGCCCAGGCCTCTGCCACACCTCTAGAGCTTGAACCTGTGGCCTACAGTCTGTGAGAGCATGGTGGGGGAGGGCCAGGCCCCAGAGATAGCCCAGCCTGGAACCTTGGAACTGTCTCCTTCCAGAGACAGCCTGGCCCAGGGGGCCTTTTGATTTTTTTTTTTTTTTTTTTGTGGTGAGACAAGGTCTCACTGTGTAGTTCAGGCTGGCTTTGGACTCACTGCATAGTCCAACCTGGCTGTGAATTTGCAGCCATCCTCCTGCCTCAACCTCCTGAGTGCTAGGATTATAGGTATGTGCCACCATCCTTGGCTTAGTTTTGCTTTTTTTTTCAGAGAGAGTCTCCTATGTAGTTCGGGCTGGCCTCAAATTCGGAGAGACTCTTGCCTCAGCCTCCTGGGTGCTGGGATTACAGGAACGTGTCACAGGCCTGGCCAGAATCTTCTAATTGAGAGTTTTTTCAGACTCGTGACCCCTGCCTGTTGCTAGTGGCCATACATTTGTCTTTCCTGGACACCTCCTTTTGACAGGCCTTGTGTTTGGGGGAAACCCTAGAGCAAACATTAAACAAACTTTGATAGCCTGATCTCATTAACTGATATATTCCAAATCTAGTTCAACAATCAGAATGATTTCTATTCTCTTTCCCCATAAGTCTTTGAAGTCAGTGTGTGTTTTGTACTCGTATCTCTTAGCTTGGAGCAACCATGCTCCAGGTGCTTGTGTGGCTGGTGGCTGCTGTTGGGCCCTTCAGCCCTGAGGGGACAGGTACCTGGAAGCAGGGCAAGGGCTGCAGTGGCCTTGTGTCCCGAAAGCCAGGGTGGATGGCAGGGACCAAGCTCCAGAAGGGCAGCAGAGGGACTGCCTCTTTCTCAATGGGGCATAGATCCCCCAAGGCTCACTGTGAATCTCCACACAGGCAGCCGAGGTCGCGGCAGGGGTTACAGAGGCCGAGGAAGCCGCGGGGGATCTCGAGGCCGGGGCATGGGCAGGGGCAGCCGAGGCCGGGGTAGAGGCTCCGTGGGAGGAGAGCACCCGGACGATGAGGAGGACTTCTACGAGGAGGACATGGAGGTGAGATTTCCTGGGCATGGTGGGAGGAGGCTGCAGTAGGACCCTGGGCTGCACTGAGGGAAAGGCAGCCTCGGATGGCAGTTTCCTGTGCTTTAAATGTTTACTTTGGAAGAAAGGAGCTCTTTACATGGAGTGAAATAGAAAAGTTGTCAAACGGCAGGCTGTGAAGAAAAGCCCCTCCTTAGAGACAGGATCCTGAACGTCCTCCAGACTTGCTCCACACCTTTCCTGGGTGGCACCTGTGTATTCACCCTGCCAGAGGAGTCGCGTCCAGGCCCTGATCTTCCCACCCTTCTGTGCTAGCTGCTCTGTGTGGTGCCACTTTGCTGGCCTTGCCAGGTCCTACCGTCCCAGTGGCACATTCAGTCCCTCGGGTTGGTCCCCTGCCTCCAAGAGGGCAGAGCACACAGTTCCAGGCAGTGTGCCCCGGGTCTTCCCTAACGCTGTCCTGCCCTCTGCTTCTCTCTGGAGCTGCAGTATGGAGAAGGTGAGGAGCCCATGGGGGACGACGATTATGATGAATACTCCAAGGAGCTGAACCAGTACCGCCGGTCCAAGGATGGCCGAGGCCGAGGTGGGCAGAGGTCCTGGAGGTGACATGCTGGGCATGGGACCCAGGAAAGGTCAGCAGACTGACGCCCTCTCTGCCTCCTGCAGGGTTAAGTCGAGGCCGGGGCCGGGGCTCCCGGGGTCGAGGGAAAGGGATGGGCCGGGGCCGAGGCCGAGGCAGCAGCCGCGGAGGAATGAACAAGGGTGGAATGAATGATGATGAAGACTTCTATGACGATGACATGGGCGTGAGTGACTCCTCTTTTAGATCCCATGATTTTGGCCAAGGCTCCTTGTGGAAATTCCTGTTTTTTTTTCAACGAGTTCCCCTGCTCCTAGCAACCCTTCCTGGGGGCTGATGGGCATTGTCATTTCTTGTGGGGGCTGCTCTGCAGGCAGGACCCACTGTGTTTATAGGCCCAAGTTGTCAGCATGTGCAGCCTTCTCAGTGGTCTGTGCTTCAGCAGCTTCTAGCAACTCAGCCAGTTAGCCTGGGAAGCCTCCCAGGAGGCTGCAGTCTGTGCTCCGGGGGCAGATGGGTCCCTGTCAGGCAGGTGGAACTCAAGCTCTCCACTGCCCATGGCTCAGGTGCCAGTGACTTTCCTGCGCCAGCACCAGTACCTGGCCCAGCCCCTGCAGCTTTGGCGTGTTGGTGCCCTCTTATCCCCTTTTCCTGTTGGTTACTCACCGGCCAGAGCCCATCTCCACCCTTCCTGTGGGTTCCTCACCATACCGTGTGCTGTGCTCCTTACAGGATGGCGGTGGAGGCAACTACCGGAGGGGTGACCATGACAAACCCCACCAGCAGTCTGACAAGAAGGGCAAAGTCATCTGCAAGTACTTCGTGGAAGGGCGATGCACGTGGGTAAGGAGCCTCATGACCTCTGGGAGTTGAATGTTGGGGGTGAACCCAACTGTAGGGGAGTAGGGAGTGATTGTGTGGTAGTCTGTGGTTCCAGGTCACCTGTTGGCACTGAGAGACACCAGGCGGGCCTGGAGAAGGCTCAGTCCACTTCTCAGCGTGAGGAGGACCAAGAGCAAGACAACATACAATTATTATTATTATTATTATTTATTTTTTGTAGCACTGGGGATCAAACTCACGACCTCACACTTGCCAGGCAGGCCCTTATGCCACTGAGCTAAATCCCCAACATACTATTATTTTGGTTTCACAGACTTTTTTGGCCAAATTTCTCACCTCATTCTTATGACCTCAAGGGCATGTATGAGCTGATGCTTATGCAAAGATGTGATGTTTCCTGCGTAAGGGATGGGAAGGGCATTACTAGCCTGTCCAGCGGGAGTCAGCTTGGGCTGTAGACTTGAGAAGAGTTGAGGGCTGGGCGATGGAGCGGTGGCCGCAGTGCTCTGTGGGAACTGAGTGTGGCTGGTGGCTTTGTCCAGCACACACGCACGGGCCCTGTTGCTCCCATGTGTCTGTCTAGGGGAGAAATCAGTGCGTGAATACACTGGATGTGAACTATTCCATGTTCTCATCACAATTCATTTCTTTTTAAAAGTTTATATGTATGAGCAAATAAAAATGAGTGGCCATTGCCAAGGGTACAGGGAAGTGGATAGAGAGCAGCTTCAGAAAGTGTGGCTCCACTGGCTCCGGCACAGAAGCCTCAGTCTCAGAGCAAGGAACCTGAGGGCAAGTGGGCAGTGCTCAGTGACTCGCAGGTGCCAGGCTCCTTCTACCCTTTGCTTGTCTTTAAGCATATGGCTGTGATCCTTGTGTTTGCATAATGGCTGCTGTGCCTCTGGACATCACATCCAAGTACGAAGAGGAAGAAAAATGGGCTAAGGAATGTTTTTTATTCAGAAATTTTCCTCTTCAGCTTTTGCCTGTATCTCATTAGCTGGTTCTGCAAAGGAGGCTGGGAGATGGCATACTTTCAGCTAGGCACATTCTTCCCCAGACTAAATGAGGGTTCTTTTAGGAAGGAAGAAGTGTGAATTTCAGGTAGGTGATGCACAGCAAATGGTTTAAAAAAAAGATGAGTAATGAGCAGGATGGGAAATAAGCCAGGAAGACGGAGAAGACAGTTGAAAAGTGGCAGGCATGGAAAAGTGGTGATGGCCGTGTTGGGAGAACAGGGAGCCAAGAGGAAGGCACGTGGGCAGGTGCTGGGGTAGCTCTGCTGGGCAGAAGCATCAAGGTCAGAAGCCTGCCTTTCCTGAGACCAGGGGCCTTGGCTCTGTTCTACACAGTGGCGACAGTGCTTCCCTTTGTAGACAGGCGTAAGCGACGGCTTGCAGCACCACCACCTTACGCTTTCTGTGCTTCTCTTCCAGGGAGACCACTGTAACTTTAGCCATGACATTGAACTGCCAAAGAAGCGAGAGCTCTGCAAGTTCTACATCACGGGGTTCTGTGCCCGAGCCGAGAACTGCCCCTACATGCATGATATCCTTTGCCACTGCTGCAGCTGCAGCTGCAGCTGCTCCCCCAGGTGAAGCAGGGCTCTGCATTCCCCCTCACCTCTGCCCCATGGGGGGCCTGCTGGTCCGCTCTGCAGGCCTGCGGTACGCCTGCCATGCGTCCTCTCAGCACACGTTCTCCATGTTGGCTTTACACAGCCTGAGTTGTTTTCCAGCTGGCTCTGTGACCTTGGGCAAATCTCTTTAAGGTCCCCCTTCGTTGAGGGTCTGAGGACACAGCCCCAAGGCCAGCTTGGTGGTACAGAAATTGTTCTGGAATAGGAATTTTGTGAGTCATGTTTCTGCTCTGGTCTGCTGCCAGCCCAGTGGGCAGCCTGAGAAAGTGTCCTCAGCTGTGGGCTTCACTCTTCATCACTAGAGGAGAAGGGGTCGGGCTCTGTGTGGGAGGACCCATGAGGTGAAGCCTTTGCCTTAACTTGCTGTGAACGTGACTTTCCCTGTAAGCTGTACCACACAACAGGGAACTGCATCAATGGGGATGACTGCATGTTTTCCCATGACCCTCTGACCGAGGAAACGCGAGAGCTCCTAGATAAGGTAAGGGTGCAGAGCCACACTCACAGGAGCCAGGAAGCCTGCCTGCCACAGCCTCAGTGTTGTTGCTGTCCACTCCGGCCTCCGCAAGACCAGAGTTCCCAGTCACAGTGATCTGGGGCTGGGCTGTCTGAGGAGGGAAACAAGACTGTGACCCCTGCCTGGACGCTGTGTGAGTGGTCAGACCCATGTGAATCTTATCCTCAGCAGCTAGGGCAGGCTGCTGTGAGGTGCACTGGGGACCCTCGGTGAGGGATGTTGCCTGGTGGGTCTCCACATGCACCTTGTGATGTCTTAAAGACCAGGTGCTGGATGTGTGAGGTGCTCAGGTGCTCCTCAGCTGCTCTCATGAGGAGGTAGGGCTGTTGGGGGTCTTGGAGGAGGAGACTTGCTCAGGGAGCTGTTGGGATGATTAGGGCATCTTGTCCTCACTTTTCTGACATGGATCCATACAGGTAATAAAGAGGGAGGAACAGATATCCTTCCGCTTGGTGCTTGCCCTTCCTAGTGTACAGAGACCAAAGGGGATTGGCTAGTTTTTGAGGCAAAAGGACTGAGACCACCAGTACATCATCTAGCTAGAAGGGTCTGTCCATCAGGACTGTAGGGGCCACAGGGAGAAGCCCTGGGGAAGCAAAAGGGAGAGATTCCCAACGTGTCTGTGGGCAGAGTGCTTGCTTTTGCCATTTCCTTTGAGGAGTCTATCATCCTAGAATTGTGTAATCAGAAAGTACCTAGAGTTCAGCTATTCTCTTACAGGGCTAGTAAGGTGGGCTAGGTGATTCCTAACTGACTTCTGCCCCCTGCTGGAAGTCTAGAGTTTTGCTTTAATAGGAACAACTGAGCCTTGCAGTTCTCATTTTAGGATTTTTAGTACCACATTTTTGTTTTTAACTTCATTTGCTACTTGTTTTTTTGTTCTTGTTTTGAGGCAGGGTATATTTTTGGTTTTTTGAGACAGGGTCTTGCTACGTAGTTGAGGCTAGCTTTGAACTTACTGTATAGCTCAGAGTGATCTTGAACTTGCTGTGATCCTCCTGCCTCAGCTTCCTGAGTGCTGGGATTACTGATGTGCACCTGCCTTCCATTGTTTTTCCTTTTTTCCCCCCTTCTTCCCTTTCCATCTCTCCCCTCCCTCGTACCTCTTCTCATCTGAACATTTCCTTCTCATTTTCCAATGTCTGTTTTACATTTTGGTTCTTATTTACATTTTTAGTTTTTCACACCAGAAAAACAAGGTGGCATTTAAACAGATGTGTCCAGTTTATTTCATTGCAGAGTATGGTCTCAAGGTGTGGCCATTTAGCTAGAAATGTCTCCAGATTATCCTTCTTTATGGCAGTGTAGTATTCTATTGTAGAATACCATTTTAGTAATCAGTGAATAACAAAGAAAATTGAGAGTTTTTATTTTCTTTTTCATGGTGCTGGGAATTGAACCCAGGGGCTCAAGTGTGCTCAGCAAGCTGCGTCCCCAGCCATGGAGAGTTGTGTTTTCTGCTCATCGCCTCCATGTGGGTCAGCTCTGTTTCTAGCACTTGCTGGCTGCAGGTAGCATAGGCCTCCATGATAGACAGTACTACTTCAGAGGCCCTTCTGAAAACAAAGTGGTGTATTTCAGCTCCTGGCCACACACCTTAAAAAGTGCATAGGTTTAAAGGTTGGTAAACCAGGAAGAAGAAGCATGCTAAGATGAAGATTTTCTAGAAGTACGATGTGCCTTGCCCCTCTCGGAAGGGCCTCCCCTAGCCCTTGGAGCGCCTAGAGCTCCCTGGTGCCTGTGGTAGTGCGAGCCGTGGTGCCACTCGAATAAGGCCCAGCCTCCCTCTCCTAAACTCGGCCTTTTTTTTTTTTCTTATCTTTTTTTCTTTCTTTTTTCTTTTTTATTACTGTTGTGGCTTGAACCCAAACCTTCACACTAAGCCACATCCTCAGCCTTTTTCTATTCTGAGACAATGTTTCCCTAAGTTTTCCAGGCTAGGGTCAAACTTGAAGTCTTCCTACCCCAGCCACCCAAAGTGCTGGGATTCCCCTGATGTCTGCTCTTCCACCCTCCCCGCCCTCCCCTTTCAGTTTTATCTTCCCACTTGGGATGCTTTCTGTCTGTTGAGAAAGGCGAGTTTCCTGCTGTCCACTCCATTGGAGGTTGGCGAAGAGGCTTATTTGGAAACAAGTGACGAGAGTAACAGTTTCCCTGTCCAGGTTCATCTGCCAGTGGTCCTTTGCCCCATTTCCTTTATTAGGCACTGGCTTAGTGTAGCTGTGTGTGTGTATGCATTGTTTCTTGAGCACTGGAAAATATTGTGTGTTCACCTTGGTCCTTCACTTTCAGTACTTCAGTCACAGATAGGAGTTTTCCCCCTTCTTCTTCTTCTGAGACCGAGCTCTCACTGTGTAGTTCAGGCCTACCTTGAATTCACTGTGTAGCTGAGACTGGCCTCAAACTCGAAGCAGTTATCCTGCCTCAGCCTCCTGAGTGCTGGGACTTCCAGTGTGCATTAGCATGCCCTGTGATAGTTTTTTGTTTATTAGTTTTTTATAGTCAGGTGTTAAGATGTAGTTGGGATCCAGAAAGTTCTCCTGTGCAGTCTGCAGTTCTGTGACTTGACCAACAGGTAGAATTATTATCACCGTCACACAATGCAAATATAGGAAAAGAGCATCATGTAAATGGAAGTGCCTGGTAAATAGCCCTGGGGGGAGCAGACTGTGGCTTCTCAGATTGAGGATAATGTATTTGAGATTTACCTAGCTGTTCAGGCTTGTTGCTGCTGGTTGCTGTGTCTCCGCTGTGTATATGGTCAAGTTTGCTTAGCCAGACGTTGGTTGAAGAACATTAACATTGTATGTGAACAGAGCTTGAGAGTGTGTGACCGACCAACTGCCTTGAACTCATTTATGTGGCAAAGCCTTTGCATCTAAGCAAGTGTGACCTTTGTTAGCTGAGAAGGTGACTTTGACTTCAGGAAACCCATCAGGTTGATGAGCATCAGTTCAGGGGGGGTGCAGGACTCAGCAAGGTGCTGATGACCATGTCTGGGTCAGTGGCCCTACAGTGGGGAGGCCAGGAAGCGCCTGGGCCTGATGGACAATGCGACATATCCGTGCTGAAGAACCCCACAGTAGTTTGGGTTTAGTCTTCCTGCTTATTTTCCCTGAGGTAATTTACATGTCTGTGCCCTGGGCTCAGATGCAGTTAGCGCTGGGTATAGGGTGTGGGGAACCCATCTGTATCTTGAGCATGTCCCTCCTGGATGTCCCTGGGCTGTGCTGCTGGGCACCAGAGATGGAAAGCGCTTGTTCTCAGCACAGACGGGAGGTAAAAGCAGCTGAGATGCAGCTGTGCAGCAGGCCCTGGGGAGGAGCAGGTGGCCACCTTCCTGGCCTTGAGGTGCCCTCATGGAGCATCTCACTCCAGTCACTTGACCAAGGGTCCCTCAGGTGCCTCCTGGGTGTGACCATTGTGTTTGAGCTGCCCAGCAGCTGTCTCAGTCCCCAGAGCCGACAGTCTGATAGAGAAGAGGCAGTGACCAGCTTCTCATATCTGCTGAGCAGATGTGAGTTCTGTGGCCTTGAAGGAGCAAGCTCTTCTGGGGGTGTGAGGAGGCCTCATGAGGGCTGGGGTCAGGGTGACTTGGAATAAGAGCAGTGGCAGATGTTGCTGTGAGGGACCCAGGCATGGGGGTGGAGGCCAGGGAAGTGAGGGGCGCATGGGCCACCGAGGGCCAGGCTCTGGAGGGGCTTGTGGGAGGAGAGGATGGAAAGGAAGCCAGGGTGAAGTGTGTTGTGTTTAAGGGGATATAACCTTGTTAATTTTGGTCTTTGACTAGAAAGCATTGAGGCTATTCTGAAAAGACTGAAGGGCTAGTGGCATGGCCATGTTTGTGACCTTGAACTTTGCTCTGTGGTGTGCAGAGAATCCTGGAAGATTTGAGGGAGGCTAGGACTAGGACCGGGGCCCAGGACCAAGACAGCAGGCAGTATGTGGAGGGCGCTCAGGGTCCCAGTTGCTGAGACATTGTGTCCCAGTGTGGATATGGGTGTCTCCCTGTGGCAGGTCTGTGCTGGCAGCTGGGAATGCAGCAGAAAAGGCAGTAGTCCCCGCCCCGCTAGGGTGGACAGGATGGGCAAGCCAGGGATCAGTCAGTAAAGGAATGGCCAAATATGTGGTCTTCTCAGCGGCAGTAGTGCATTGAGGCAGCTCACAGTGCCTGAGTGGGGAACGTAGGAGACAGGCACCAGCACTCTCCGTTGACATTTGAGACCCCCATAAGTGGACCAGAAACCACACTAGAATAGAACCCCAAGGTGAAGTCTGGGCTGAACTAAGTCCTACAGGAAGACCTTGGCCGTCCTGTCATGCTGAGTCATGGTTAGCAGTTGGGGTTTCAGGAGAGATGGGAGGTCTTCATCCTGGCAGATCCACCCACCAGAAAAGAAACGTGGCTGGGCCATGAGCTCAGGGTAAAGTGCTTGCCTAGCATACATGAGGCCCTGGGTTCATCTCCAGCAGTACATAAAAAAGAAGGCAAGAAGGAGGGATAGACTCACAGATGGTGCAGTGTGGTAAACCTTGCTAAGCCTGTCATAAAAGGCACTACTGCATGGTTCCGCTTAGACGTTTCCTGAGTAGACCAATCCGTAGAGAGAATAGGTGAGTGGTTGCCAGGGACTGGGGAGGAAGAGGCAGGAAGTGACTGTCTAATGTACAGTCTCCTTGGCGATGTTGAAAATGCAAGTAGATGACGTGGCAGTTGCCCACCTCTTAAGTGTATTCAGTGCCCTGAATTGTTCACTGGAAAGCAATTGAAACGCTACATGTGATGAGATTTGTATTTTGCCTCCCAGGACAGGAATGGTTCTCCCTGCTTGCTGATCCCAGAAATCAACCACAGAGTGGTATCCGATGAGCGTTTTTGCTTGCTTGTTTTTATTTTGTTTTGTTTTTGAGACAGAATCTTACTATGTAGTATAGTCTGGCCTTGAACTCAGGGCAGTCCTGCCTCAGCCTCCTGAGTACTGGGACTACAGGCATGTGCCACCATACTCAGCTTATTTGTTTTTGGTTTTGGGGGTTATTTATTTATTTATTTTTAACTTTTTATCGGTACCAGAGATCGAACTCACGATCGCCTGCTTGCAAGGCAGGTGCTTATGCCGCTGAGCTAAATCCCCAGCCCCGGTTTTTGGGGTTTTTTTGTTTTTTAGTTTTTTAGTTTTGAAACAGTGTGTCTGTGTAGTTAAGGCTGGCCTTGGACTTACTATGTAGCCCAGACTGACCTTAAATTTGTGGTGATCCTCCTGCCTCAGGCTCCCAAGTGCTGAAAGATCCTCCCGCTTCAGCCTCCCAAATGCTGGAATTACAGGCATGTGCTACTACAGGCAGCAGTTTTTGAGATAGTACCTCAGGTACCCCATGCTGACCTCAAACTTGCCTCATCTGATGAGGATTTTGTTATAAAAAGGATTTGTAGGGCTGGGGTGTAGTATAATGGTATAGCACTTGCCTACTTGTGTGAGGGCCTGCCAAAAAAGGGCAGGACAGGGGGATCACAGGGGATCCTGGCTCTGTGCTATAAGGGCCTCAGCATATTTGTGTTTTACAATTTTCCTTGGCAATTGACCCTCTCTTTGTCCCCTTTCTTACCCGCAGATGTTGGCTGATGATGCAGAAGCAGGTGCCGAAGATGAGAAGGAAGTTGAGGAACTGAAGAAGCAGGGGATCAATCCCCTGCCCAAACCACCACCCGGTGTGGGCCTCCTGCCCACCCCACCTCGGCCTCCTGGGCCCCAGGCCCCCACCTCTCCCAACGGCAGACCTATTCAGGGCGGCCCTCCGCCCCCTCCTCCGCCCCCACCCCCTCCTGCTGGGCCCCCTCAGATGTCCATGCCAGTGCACGAGCCACTGTCTCCACAGCAGCTACAGCAGCAGCAGGACATGTATAACAAGAAGATCCCCTCCCTGTTTGAGATCGTCGTGCGGCCCACAGGACAGCTGGCTGAGAAGCTAGGTGTGAGGTGAGTGCTCCAGCCTCGTGAGCCTGAGGTCCCGGCCCCAGCAGGTTCCTGTTTCTCCAGAGGTGTTGGAGTTCCCATCTGGGACCCATGACCATGAGCTCCGAGTCCTTTGCACTTAGAGCTCCCTCCTCCACCTGGGGGTGGGTACTGCCACTATGCCTCAGCAGTAGCTTTCACAGGCACCATTTCCTCCTCTAGGTTCCCTGGACCTGGTGGACCCCCAGGGCCAATGGGTCCTGGGCCAAACATGGGACCCCCAGGGCCAATGGGGGGCCCCATGCACCCCGACATGCATCCAGACATGCACCCAGAAATGCACCCTGATATGCATCCGGACATGCACCCCGATATGCCGATGGGCCCTGGCATGAACCCTGGCCCGCCTGTGGGTCCTGGCGGTCCCCCCATGATGCCATATGGTCCTGGAGACTCCCCACATTCTGGAATGATGCCCCCCATCCCGCCAGCCCAGAACTTCTATGAAAACTTCTACCAGCAGCAGGAGGGCATAGAGATGGAGCCAGGCCTCATCGGGGATGCAGGTGCGCGGGGCATCCTGGGGGCTGGGCTTAGCAGGGTGGAAGGGAGTGAAGGTACAGTTTTTCTTCCTTGCTCAAAGGCTCTTTGGATATGGGACACCAGCTCCTTTTTTGTCCCATTTAATAGCCCAGTGTTTCGTTGATATTAGGCTCATTATTTGTTGAGACCAAAGGAGTTTTGTATTTATTTTCAGTATGGCTTATTTTACCTGTTTCTTTGTGGTGCTGGGGATGAAACACGAGGCCTCACACATTAGGCAAGCACTGTACACTGAGCTACTCCTCGGCCCTTTATTTTATTTTCAGACAGTCTTTTCCAAGTTGCCCATACAGGCCTCAAACTTTGGCGGTCCTCCTGCCTCAGCCTCCTAAGTAACTGGGACTAACAGTCCTGCTTACCATGTCTGGCATTTTATTTGGTTTTTAAGAATTTGTGCAGCATGCTTAGAATCAGGAGCATGACCGAGTCAGAAATAAGTACCTTAACCAAAGACTTCTTTTAAGACAGTTCGGGGGGGGGGCTGGGGATTTAGCTCAGTGGCATAAGCGCCTGCCTTGCAAGCAGGCAGTCATGAGTTCGATCCCAGGTACCGATAAAAAGGAAAAAGACACCCCTCCCCCCAAAAAAAAAAGACAGTTCTGGGCTTGGAGCTCCCGGTGCTGACCTATGAGTGTGCTTGTCCTATCCCTGTGGCATTTCTGTCCTCCCTTTCTGTCTGGGTGGTGGTATCCTGGTGCCATAGTCAGTGAGGGCTGGGGGACGTGCACAGCAGCAGGCGCCATCAGAGTAGAAGAGATTCGCTTGCAGCCCGAAGGGCTTGGGGCACATAGCCAGGTTCAGCCTCACTGTTCTGGTGGAGTGGGGAGGGTGGGAATGGGTAATCATTACTTACCATTGTTAGAAGACACAGAGTAGCATGGTGGAGTGACAGCTGGAGACTTGGGGCCCTGGCAGGACAGTCACAGAGGCCTGCCTTTCTGGGAAGTAAGAGAGGGCAGTTAGGCCTAGAGGTGGCTGCAGGCTCAGCTCCACATTCCGGCAGCAGCTTGTCAGATGGGCCCAGCCTGCGAAGGAAGACTGAGAGGGTCCTGTTGTTGTGAGGAGCACTGGCAGTAGATGAGGGCATTGGGAATCGGGGCACCTGGGCTATTGTAGAGTGTCCCTGACAGGTGAATCCTCAGTAACACCGGCACCGGCCACATTTCCAATCCTCAGTTGTCCAGCAGGGTAGAGGTGACCATGCCACATGTGAGAGGAACATGGCAGGCCTGCAGAGCGGGTGGCTCAGAGCAGCCCTCCAGCTTTGGTCACCTCGAGATTCTGAAGGGTGCTTGAGAGGCATCAGGGAGCCCTGCAGGGTGGAAGTGGGGAAGTAAATAGCCTTGGCTTGTGGCAGTGAGAAGGCAGAGTGGGGGCACTGACAGGCCCGCACCAGTGTGTATAGACGTGTGTGGAAAAAGCTCTGCTGGGAGGCAGACCAAGGTTCAGTCAGCCTTTAATAGTCACCCTAAACCAGAAACGCTTGCGTCGCCTGTAATCCCAGCACTCGGAAGGCAGAGGCAGGAGGGTCACTGTGAGGTTGAGGCCAGCCTGGGCTCTGCAGTGGGTTCAAGGCCTTGTCTCAAAAAGAAAAAGTAACTCTAGTCTCTAGAACAGCAGTGTGGAACATATGGCACACATGCTGTAGCAGCCCATTTGTTGTCATAGGATGCTCCAAGACATTTGCCATGGCTACTGTAGAGTAATTTGCTTTTTTAAGAAATTGAGATCAGTTGCCAGGGATTTAGCTGAACACTATAAGCACCTGCCTGGCAAGTGTGAGGTCATGAATTTGATTCCTGGTACCAAAAAATAAAAATAATAAAATAAAAACTTGAGATCTGCTAGGCATGGTGGCACTCAGCTGTAAACCCAGCACACAGAAGGCTGAGGCCGGAGGATCCCTGTGAGTTGAGGTCGGCCTGGGCTACAGAATGAGCTCAAGACCAGACTGAGCTGCATAGTAAGACTGTTTCACAAACAAACAAACAATAAAATGTGTAAGTCCCTGTCATAAAACCCACAATCTCCATAGTAATGCTGCCATTCACTGTTGCTCATGACTGCTGTGCCATGAAGGAGGAGCCTTGGCTGTTATGTCACCAAGCAAGTGCCCTGCCCCCAGTAGGCGAGGCACAGAGCAGGCTACTGAGCGCGCAGGCACGCTCTTGTTTTTTGCTCCATAGCCTTGTCAATGAAATATTTGTCAGTTTATATTTGTTGGTTTAAGTCCAATTAATCCCTCGGTAACACTGGCCACATTTCCAATCCTCAGTTGTCCAGGCAGGGTAGAGGTGACTATGCCACATGTGAGAAGGACAGCAGTGACCCTGGACACATTCTGTCCACGGTTCGCGTGTGCCTCCTTGCTCAGCAATATGTACATGCTCAGCCCATGTACATGCTCACCTGGTCCCAGAGTGGTACCAGGTGACTGACTCAGCCCTGCAGTCCTACGCTCCTGGGTGAGTGCCGCTGGGAGGAGAGTTCAAGGCCTGCCCATGAGGAGTAGAAGTCACCCCCAGTCTCAGGGTTGCTATGGAGGCTTCATTCTCCTCTCAGAGTTGTTTGTTTGTTTGATTGATTGATTTCGGCAGATAGGGTTGAGTTCACTGTGAGACTCAGTAGTGCTTTTCATGACTTCAACTTGAGAATCATGAAACCAAACTGGTGCTCATTATAGATAGGTTAGGAGCGGGCAGGGAAAGCGAAAGCTTCCCCAAGGCCTGTCAGCTCCTGTCCCTGCAAGGACAGTCTTCTGTCTGTCCTGTCCATCCTCTTGCCCCACCTTGCTTTGCACATGGCCAGCTTCCTCCCATTTCCATTGGTGAGCACTGACTGTCGCTGCGTCCCTCCCCTTGTAGACTGGACTGCCTCATGGCCTGTTGGGTCCTCTGTGGGCACCAGGCATGGGAAGGGGCAGGACAGCTGGACGTCCACACTCGGCACCCTGCAGGCAGCTCCTCCAATGAAGGGCTGGGGATGGAGTTGGTGCCGTAGTGTCCTTCCCGACCCGAACCCTCGGTTCTTCCCTGCCACAGAGGACTACGGGCACTACGAAGAGCTGCCGGGGCAGCCTGGGGAGCCCCTCTTCCCCGAGCACCCTCTGGAGCCAGACAGCTTCTCTGAGGGAGGGCCCCCAGGCCGGCCGAAGCCGGGTACCGGTGTCCCCGACTTCCTGCCCTCAACCCAGAGGGCCCTGTACCTGAGGATCCAGCAGAAGCAGCAGGAGGAGGAGGAGAGAGCGAGGAGGCTGGCTGAGAGCAGCAAGCAGGACCGGGAGAATGAGGAAGGCATGTGTCTCGCAGGGCAGGGCTCGGTGGGGACGCGATCGGGACTCTTGGTGGGTAGGAGCCTACACCAGGGAGGACTGCCATTCAGGGTCATGTGATCAGGCCAGGCTGTTGCTATTACTAGAGACTAGAGGCCGGGCTGCCCTTCAGTGACTCAGGAGAGACTTCATACCACTGAGGAGGGTGGTAGGCTGGCAGGATGGGCTCCCACATCTTGGAAAGGGTACTTGGGGCCTCACTTCTATCCGTGGAGAGTGCCCCATGGGAGCTAAGTGAAAAGATCTAGTCACTGAAGTCTGTGTGGTCACAGGCCAGGTGGGCAGCCTGGTGGCACCCATCTCAGGGGGAAGTATGCAAGTGGCATCTGGGCGCAGAGGGCAGGGTCACGGAGGGCCCTGACAAGTGCATGGGAGCCGGGGGGGGGGGGCAAGTTGGTGGCCCCTCCCAGGTGGCTCAGGTTCCTCAGCCAGGGTCTTGCTTGCACCAGCTCCAGTGGTGGTTCAGCCCTCATCCTTCCTGGGGGCGCTGTAACATTGTAAGGGATCCGAGGATAGTGCCTGACATGACCTCCGAGGCAGCTGACAATCCATTTAAATGGGACAGACCACTTGGGACAGTGCTAGCACAGTGGGAAGTGCCACATATGACAGCCCCAGCCTGCAGGGGCCCTGTGCTGGGCCCAGGGCACAGGGATCTCCTTCCATGTCCCAGGAGACCCCGAGAGGAGACCTTGGTTCTGTGTACTGAGAGCAGAGCAGCCCTTTGTCCTGTGGGCTGCCTAGGGACCCAGAGGGCTGGGGGCAGATGTGACCACTGACCCTCCCCTACTCCTCTGCTCTTGCTCAGGTGATACCGGAAACTGGTACTCAAGTGATGAGGACGAAGGTGGGAGCAGTGTCACCTCCATCCTGAAGACACTGAGGCAGCAGACATCCAGCCGACCCCCTGCGTCAGTTGGGGAGCTAAGCAGCAGTGGACTGGGGGACCCCCGCCTCCAGAAAGTACACACCACTGGAGGCCGACTGGCTGACCCCCGCCTCAGCAGGGACCCCAGACTCTCCCGCCATGCTGAGGCTTCTGGCGGCTCGGGCCCTGGAGACACTGTGCCTTCTGACCCCCGGCTGGCTCGCTCCCTGCCTGCCTCGAAGGTTGAGGGGAGCCTTCATTCCAGTCCCGCTGGCCCCAGCAGCTCCAAGAGCTCTGGGGCTCCCCCTCAGGAGGAGGAGGAAGGCGAGCGGGCCCTGCGGGAGAAGGCTGTGAACATTCCCCTGGACCCCTTGCCCGGGCACCCGCTGCGGGACCCAAGGTCGCAACTGCAGCAGTTCAGTCATATCAAGAAGGACGTGACCCTGAGCAAGCCCAGCTTTGCCCGTACTGTACTGTGGAACCCCGAAGATCTGATCCCTCTGCCCGTCCCCAAGCAGGACATGGTGCCCCCTGTACCTGCTGCCCTGCAGTCCATGCCTGCCTTGGACCCCAGGCTACACCGTACCAACCCCACAGGGCCCCCCGGAGCCCGCCAGCGCCCGGGCACCTCTGCAGACCCCAGCACCTCTGGCTCTAACCTACCCGACTTTGAACTACTCTCTCGCATCCTCAAGACTGTTAACGTTACCGGCCCCTCTGCAGCCCCCAGCCCGAGTGACAAGCCCAGCGACCCCAGGGTGCGGAAGGCCCCTACTGACCCTCGACTGCAGAAACCAGCAGACTCAGTGGGCTCCTCACGTGCCACCAAGCCCAGCCCACCTGAGGAGTCCTCTCCAGCCTCCAGCCCCGGCGGGGGGTCTTCCCCACCAGCCACAGCACCCTACGACCCCAGGGTGCTGGCAGCTGGTGGGCTGGGTCAGGGCAGCGGCAGCGGGCAGAGCAGTGTGCTGAGTGGCATCAGCCTCTATGACCCGAGGACTCCTAATGCGGGTGGCAAAGCCGGGGAGCCTGCTGCTGACACGGGTGCCCAGCCTAAGGGGCCTGAGGGCAACGGCAAGAGCTCGGCCTCCAAGTCCAAGGAGCCCCCTTTTGTCCGCAAGTCCGCATTAGAGCAGCCAGAAGCGGGGAAAGCAGGTGCAGATGGGACTTCTGCCTCAGCCACGGACAGGTACAACAGCTACAACCGGCCCCGGCCCAAGGCCACTGCGGCCTCAACGGCAGCCACAGTCACTGCGCCTGCAGAGGGTGCTGCACCCCAGCCCGGAGTGCACAACCTGCCTGTGCCTGCGCTCTTCGGGACTGCGAAGCCAGTGCCCAAGACAGGCTCAGGAAGCCCATTCGCTGGCAACAGTCCAGCCCGCGAGGGCGAGCAGGACGCAGGGTCCCTGAAAGACGTTTTTAAAGGCTTTGATCCCACCGCCTCCCCCTTCTGCCAGTAGTGTTACCCAGGGCCAGTGCTCCTGCCACCCCACCTCGTCCAGGGTGATATTTAAGGGCAGCAGTCAGAGCTGGGATGGGGGGAGTTGGGGAGGGACTGGGCGTGCTTTCTTTTCTTTTTTCTCCTCTTTCTCCTTGTTTTTTTGTTTTTCCTCAAGTAGTATTCTTTTGAGACATAAACTGTACATAACCATCTTGGGTGGGTTCTGTCCGTGCTGCAGGGCCTCCCCCCAGGACAAAGGGAACTCGCGTGCCTGAGGAGGCACGGAGGGTCAGTCACTCCACTGCGGGCGAGGAGGGACTGAGCCCAAGCTCACGGGGCTGCAAGGAGTCCATGCCCACAGCTTCAGCCTCGGAGAGCAGAAAGGGACTGAGCAGCCAGCTGGGAACCCTCCAGGGGCCTCCTCTGCCCAGCCCGGCCCCCAGTACCTCCCCAGTTCAGACTGCACAGCAGCCTGGGTGCGGTGGTAGCCCTGAAGAGCTGCCTGGCAGCAAGTGTTCTGTCAGTATTACCCGTCCTGCCCCGCATGCCAGGGTCCGCTCTGGCCCCGAAAAGCCACAGCACCCTGTGCGCCTGTACTGCCGGCCTCTGCCCTGGTGACAGCTCAAGGATCCGTGGCCGGCCCACCCACAGGCTCCCGGCGGGAGCCCGGGCAGCCCCAGCACAGTGTTGGCACGCTCTGCTTTCTTTGCTCCTTAAACTGTGGTGTCTAAAAGAGATGAGGCACTGGTGTGCAGGCTTCTTCTCCCAGGCCAGCGGATGCCATGGTTCAGAGTATCATGCACTTCTCGGAAGGGGGATAGGGTAGGAGACTCGAGCTGGAGCAGGCAGAGGGGCCAGGATCCCTGGGGACAGAGAGGACTGAACCGGGACAGAGTAGAGATGTTCAGTGGCCTCTTTCCCCCTAATCCTGCCACCCCGCCTGAGGACTGGCCTTGTCCAGGGGCCCTGTGTCTTCTCACAGTGGGACCTGGCCACCCAGCTGAGGGTCCCCCTCCTGTCCCATGGTAGCAGCCCCATAAGGCTCCTGGGCCACTCCCCCCCCCCCCCCCCGGAGAAGTAATAGCTCACCAGTTTGGGGCCAGGAGCCAGGGTGGGAGTGGCCAGACTGAGTACACGGTGGGGCTGAGGTGGGGTGCTGGCCAGCCTCCGCCTTTTGTGTTGTTTTCCAAAGCAATCATCCGTGAGATTTGTCTTCAGCCACCAGAACCGGCCATGGGCAGGGCCCAGACGAGTGAGGTGAGGAAAGGGCACAGTGTGGCAGTATTTTGGGTTTGGCTTCCCCCCACCTCTGAGAAAGTAAATGCTTTTTTAAAACCGAAATCTGTGGATGAAATAGAAGCCAAAATGCTCCTCGGAACATTCAGCTTCAAACCTCATGGGACTATGAATTCATCCGGAATTCCCTTTTGCCATCAGGCTGAGCTTTTAATGAAAAATTGTTCGCTAACCAGGATTGTAACAAAAGTGTAAATACTATTTCAGAGTTGAAAGTCGATGGTGCAAATATGTATATAATGTACTGTATTTTTACAATGATCGTCGCATGACTACCCCCCCCCCCTTTTGTACTCCATATCTGTCTTCCAGAAACCTCTCCTGCCTTTTCTCCTATGTCTCTTAAACTGATAATTGTATTACTGCCATTAAAGGATGCAGTTATTTTAAGCAGCCTTCGGGTCTCTCCTGCCCCAGGACGGTGGCGCCTCAGTGGCAGGGAGCGGGGGAGGTCACTGCTGCTTTGTTTTTTTCCTTGTCCCATGTGGCTGCGCTTTGCCACGGAGCTACACCTCAGCTGCATCGGGGCTCCCTGGGGAGCTAGAAGGAGAGGACACGTGCAGTGTGGTGGTGGCCCCTTCCAGTGATGGTTTGACTTGGGATATTTTGACCTTATCGTGGGGCAAAGCAATAGGCATGGAGCAGAGACTATGCTTTTAAATTGGAATTTTGAACTAAGATCACCTTTTCCCAGACTGGTGACATGCAGTCTGATTATTCTTGGGGTGCTGAGAAGGGGAAGTGAGGTGCAGCTCTCACTCTACACACAGGGTGCATGGCCAGGCATCGTGATGCTGCCTGTAGACCCCGTACTTGGGAGGCTGACCAAGAGGATAGCCACGAATTCAAGTACAATCTGAGCTACATAAACCCCCGCCTCAACAAAATGAAACAAAAAACACACAAGGTGCTGAACACTTTGTTACAAAACAGGTTTTAGCGAGGCCAGTGACACACAGCTGTAATCAGCACTTGGGAGGCTGAGGCTCCTGCCTCCTGAGGATCACTGCCAGTCCAAGGCCAGCCTTGGCAACATAGTGAGTTCAAGGCTAGTCTGAACTATGTAGGAAGATCTTGTCTCAAAAAAAAAGCTTTGAATGGAGATCAGTCTAAAAGCACCGAGTTTGGTCACAGCACTGCAAATAAGCAGGCCTGTTGCTGGGTGGTGGTGCAGTAGTTAAGCATTCTGAGCACCTTTAATCCTCCACCTCCGGGAGATGGGGGATTTAGCTCAGCGATGCAGCACCAGCCTGGATAGCACAAGGTCCTGAGTTCAATTCTGTGTCCCCCTCCAAAACTGTTCCCACAAAGCCTGATTTAGATGCCAGTCTCATCCAAACACCTCACAGAGCTATCTAGAATGATTGGCCAGATACCTGGCGCATTTGACACAGTGAAATTAACACAAAGCTAGCCATCAAAGACCACCACTGAGGCAATGAGCCCCTTATTATTCACTACCTGATTACAGTTGCCCACACCCATTAATGAGCTGGAGAGGTACCCGGGAGCCAGCATTAAAGTGGGTTCCCTCCCAGTGAACCCTCAGAGGGCAAGTCCGTGGCACCCCAGCACTTTGCTTCACCCCCACCTTGGTCCTGAAGCTTCCCAAAGCAGGACAAGATTTAGCATGGGGGCTACACAGTTTAAGACCCACAGGCATTTACCCTTGGGCAGGCGGACATTCTTGTCACCTGTGCAGAACCCAAGGCAGACAGAGGAGAATTTGTCTGTCTTAGGAGGTGGAGGTGAGGTCACAGAGACAGTTTAATGGTGCACTTGTATAACCCTGGCACTCTGGGAGGCTGACAGGAGGAATGCAATTTGAAGTCCAGGCTGGACAGCTTAGTGTCTCAGGGAGACCCTACCTCAAAGTAAAAAATGTTGGGGGTGTAACTCAGTGTGAAGGCCCCCAATTCAATCCCAAGTACTGCCAAAAAAATAAAAGGCGTAACTCAGTGGTGGAATGACTGCAGAGATTTCCAGCCATGTGGTGCTCCTTACGATAGCCACTGTCACCAGATACCATTGACTGGGTGGTTTCCACTAGCACGGAATGGGCACACTTTAGTCCACAGCACCCACACAGCCCTGTGCCACCATGACCCTGATCACCCAATGAAACGCAAAAGCTTTACACATTCTTTTCAAATTTTTCTGACAATTACTGTTTTAAGCTATGTGAGGACTTCATCAGTTTACCATTCCCTGCTCCCAGCCCTTTAGCTTTTTTTTTTTTTTGCCTTTGAGGAAAGATCTCACTAAGTGGTTAAATTGCCCAGGCTGGTTGGGATTGTCCTGTCTCAGCCTCCCAGAGTGCTGGGATTGTGGGCCTGTACCACCATGCCCGGCTTTTAACTGATTGTGCAACATTAAATAATGTGATGCCTTGTCCCCTGCCCAGACCACTGGACTGTTCCGCCACAGTGCAAGTGTCATGTCCTTGCTGTCCCACACAGTTGTCACAGCCCCACGTGGCTACCAAGTACTGAACTGTGGCAGGTACGACACAGGTGTTGACTTTATCTTTAATGATGTTTAAACAGCCAGGTGGGCCTGTGGCTGAGTACCACAGCAAACCTCAGCTGTGGCCCTTTATCTCTGGCGACTGCTCCCCTCTGCAGACCTCCCACTGCTGGCTCAGTGCTTGTCAGTGCTGCTCTAACCAATGACCACAAATTTAGGGGCTTGAAACAGTGCGTAGGTAAGGATGCCTTTTATTTTATTTTTTGCAACTGGGCATGGCGGCATGGCCCTCTAATACCAGCATTCTGGGAAGCTGAGGCAGGAAGATCACAAATTCAAGCCTTGCCTGAGCAATTTAGCCACTTCATAAGTCTGGCTCCAAGTAAAAGAGAGAGAAGGCTGAGAATGCAGTACAAAGGCCCTGGGTTCAGTCTCCAGTATCAGGAAGGATGGAGTAGTTTGGGGGATAGACTTGGTTTTTTGTTTTGTTTTGTTTTGGTGGTACTGGTCTTTTTTTTTTTTTTTTAAACAGCGCCTCACTAAGTCACTACATTGCCCAAGCTGAGCTCAAACTTGTAATCTTCTTGCTTCAGCTTCCTAGAGTGTGAGACTACAGGTACACACTACCTCGCCCAGCCAGACAGCATCAGAATTACTGAGAGACAGTGGCCTCCCTCCCAGCCACTGTCCAAATAAACAAGGGTGCTTCTGACGCTCTATCCAAGCTGAAGTAGGATGACTGTGCCCCTCTAGCCCTTGAAGAAGAGACTGTAACGGCAGGAAGTTGTGTGTGGCACAATTCTGTTTTGCCGGTCTGTGGGAAATCCACATTTAACAGGGAACCAGATAGCAACTCAGCTGGGGCCAGCTGAGTAAATCTGGAACTCCCTTCCCCTGTCCACCTCTAGGGCCTTTCCTCTGAGCTACATCCCCAGCCTTTTATGTTTGTATTTCAACATGAGATCTCTTTAAGTCTTTAAATTTTGACTTTACATCTATAATTCTCCTGGCTCACCCTCCTGCCCAGGTGCTAGGATTACAGGTGGGTGTCACCATGACAGCCTCTGCATAGAATATCTAACTTTTACTGAACCATGATGCAAGTGTCCCCCATTTCACAGATACGCAAATTGAGGCACAGCATAACCTATTTAGATTAATAGCTGCTCAGTGACAAAGTAAAGCTTCAAACAGAGACTGGCTCCAGACTCTTCTTTCTAGGATATAGAATCTCCTGGGCCAGTGGTGGTCAGTGGTCAGGTGAGTCCAGAGTGGCCCTTCTTTTCCTATTCACTCAGTCAACACCTGATCAGGGAAACAAATCACTCTCAGTACTATGTGGACCAGCAGGAATGCAGGGAATTGAACCCAAAGGACTGAGAGGTTCGGAGGGGTTAAAAGACAGATGATAAGCAGGTACAAGAAGCTGCCGCCACCTGCTGGGCCAAGGGGCCCAGAGGAAAACATGAAATGTGGTTTGCAGACTTACAGCTTCAACCACGGAGCAGGTCCAGGAGGACCACTGACACGAACCTGAGTGACAGAGGACTTCTCAGCTGTGTCCAGGTCACCGTGCTCCATGGGAGCTCTGGAGACCCTCCAGGGCCTTGGACCTTCACCCTTGTAAAGCACACAACCCGCATCCTGCACAGCCCTTGGAGTTTCAGCCCAGTGTAGAGGAGAGTCCCTGATGATGAGGACATGGTGCAGCTTTGAGGGGCAGAGAAAGGTGATGGAGACGACGACCCCATCCCAGTAATCCCCGCGTAACCCCGTGTACCATGGGAGTGGGAGGCAGAGGACCTGCAGCCTTTCCAGGAAGATGCCCCTTCCTCAGCCCTTTCTTTCCCTCACAGGTCTCTTCACTCAGCCTTCAACCTGCAACTGCTCCTTTATCTCCCAGGCACGCCGTTGTCTTCCCAAAAGCCATGTTAGGACAAATAGCTAATGGCCCAAATGCTCAGATCCCATGGGTCCTGTTTTGTGAGAGGAAATGCAGTGGTCCCCTGTGATCCTCCGTTTTGTTGACCACTGTTTGTTGCCTGCTATCAACCAAAATACTAAATGGAAAATTCCAGAAATAGTTCCTAAATTGTAATGGCACATTGTACAACGGCACCTGGTCCTGATGAAATCTCATGGTGTGCTGGTTCTGTCCCACCAAGCACAAGAATTCATCCACCTGTGCAACGTGTCCACACCATATATGCTACCTGCCTGCCTGTTCCCAGCACGCTCCAGAGCCATCTCCACCGGCACTGTTGTATCTAATGTTTGGCACTTGAGCTCCCCAGTTTTGGAAATGAACTGGGAGTTTTGGGACATATCCCCCAGTGACACGGGGGGACTACTGTATCCCTTGAACTAAATATGTCATTTTGATGATTATGATAATCAGTTACACCGTCATTGTGCTATAATTGACATCTATAGGTAAATCGAAATGCCTCTGTCAAATTCCAAGATGAGACTATCCCTTAGCTCTGTGTACTCCTCTATGCAAAATGGAAAAGTAAAGGGCCAACAAGGGTGTGTGCACCTATAATCCCAACACTTTGGGAAGCTGAGGCAGGAGGATTGCAAATTTCAGTCCAGGTTTGACAACTTAGGGAGAACCTGTTTCAAAATTAGAAATAAAAAATGGGCTGGGGTCCTAGACAGAATCCATGAATCCACTGAAAATATGTATAAAAAATTTGTACTATACAATAAATTCTACTGGGTGCCTGGGGCATAGCCTTGGGTTCAATCCCCAGTAATACATGTAGAAGTAAAGGGCAAAGACTCAACTGGAGTCAGTTGGTTTTTTTTTAAATATGTGTTCATCTACTTTATTGACTGGTTAACCTTTTTCTTGTATTTTACGTATTTGTTTGCTTATTTATTTTGGTGTTTTGAGACAGTGTCTCAGTATGTAGTGCAGG